CCACTGACAGACTCAGGTTGTTTAACCAGAACCTGTAAATATCGCTATCACTCTCCACCAGACTCTAGAGAGTAATTTTACCTTCAGATCATCATAACTTCATTAAAGTGGACAGAAACAGAATCAAACTCATTAAACCGTCTCTGTTAGTGTTTCCAACAGTTCACTGACGTAGATGTGAGGTCTGTTTTTTAAAGCCTCCATGTAAACTCTGTAACAGGAGATCAAAACCATCAAGAAGAAGCTGAGCAACCTGTGCATCGATTTCAACAAGAACCTGAACGAGGACACCACCAGTCTGTCCTTCACCAGAGACGAGCTGGGTGAGTTAATAAGTGACACTGACTGAATCTTTATTTGCACTGAAAACAAAACACGTAGTAAGTTTCTCTAAATTATAAAACTAAGCTCACATCACTTAAGATGTATAGTAAAAGCTACTTCATGTGTTTAACTCTTCACATTACAGTGAGTTATTTAATATGTAGACTTTGATGACCTGAACACAAACTGCATTAGAACAATGAACAAGTAGAAGAAAACACTGAACTGGTTAAAAAAAAGCAGCGTTTTAAGTGATTGTTTAAAACAACATAATACAACATAAAGCGGACTTTAAACGACGGGTTTCTTCCAGGCGGCCTCCCCGAGGACTTCCTGAGCTCTCTGGAGAAGGATGGAGACAAGCTGAAGGTCACCCTCAAGTATCCTCACTACTTCCCCACCATGAAGAAATGCTTCGTCCCAGAAACCCGCAAGAAGCTGGAGGAGGCCTTCAACTCGCGCTGCAAAGAGGTGAGACGGGAAACAACGGGTGCCCGACTGGGACAATAAGTGGTTCAGACGTAAACAAACAAACAGAAGTCAGGATATTCTGAGGATTATTTATAGTAATTAATCACAGCACACGTCGGCGAAAACGTTCTCATTATTTACGTGTTTTGCACGTGTTCGACGGCGCCCCCTAAAGAGCAGCCCCAGCGCCAGGTTTCATCGTTATGTATGAAAATCAGTCCACAAATGAATCGTATCCGGATGTACGAGAAAGCTTCTTGGAGCCGTACACCGAACCCAACAGGAAGTTGGCCATTTGCTGTTTTTATTGGCGTTCCTGTGGCGTTCCCGTGGCGTTCCGTCAGGATGCAACGTGTCACATAGTGTCCACAGGAAGTGACTGCGAGGGCTTGTTCATGGCTGTTTACGGCTTTAATTGTTTGTTTGTTTTTCAGCTAAATTAAACAACAAGTCTTTTAATTATTGATTTCACGTTAATTTGTTCAATTATTTTAATTTTTTGCTGTTTTTGTCTCTTTTTTTTAATGGTTTGATCATTTTAATATTTGTGGGATTTTAGTCTGTTGGTCAAATATTAAAGAACAATGTGAAGACGTCGTATCAGGATCCGATCTGATGATTTTATCAACCAAACATTTGTAATTCCACTAGAACTCATTTTGGTAGTTTTCTCCATCAGTGAATCACATTGAACAAGCTGATATCTGAGATGTGGGAACACGGTGAGTAGAAAGAAACCGTAAACTGTGTGTTTGCAGGAGAACTCGGCCATCCTGAAGGAGCTGGTGGAGCTTCGGGCTCAGAAGAGCGATCTGCTCGGCTTCAGCACCCACGCCGACTTCGTCCTGGAGATGAACATGGCCAAGTCTGGAAGGAAGGTGGCCGGCTTCCTGGGTGAGTCCTGAAGTTACACCTGTGTGATGGATACCTGCAGAGAGGAACGTGAGAGTCATTTCAGCATCAAATCAAAGACCGATCATCAATGATAATAAATACAGGTCTGGGATTAAGTCATTTTTCAGGGCGACGCTGATTTGGCCTCAGATAAATACAGATTTAATTCATAAATGCTAAATTATCTGTTATCTTATCGGACACGAGAAGCAATTAAATATATAAAAATCATTTAATGGCTGAAAAAAATAACGACATATCCCGACTGTTGTTGGTCTCCCAGAGGAGGAGGAGGAGGGAGAGTGCAGGTGATCAGTACAAGCAGGTACCACTGTACCTCTCACACAGTTATTAGACAAAAACAACAAATATGGTGATAATCTCTCCCTTCCTGTCCTATCAAAATAAAAGCATAAAAAGCCCCAAAAATGTCTTTATTAATGAAAAAACTGACAAATCTTCAGACTAAAAGAAGCACAACTGGATGAAAAACTGGGACAATTATCCAGAACTCAAAATGGTGACATGTTTAAAGCCAATAAAGATCTAAAAGCTTCTTTTATTACGTTCACAGTTTGGATAGAAACACACAAACACTTTGGTTTCAAGTTTTCTGTCATTTAATCCGCCGCTGCTGAGAACTTTCTGTTTGTCCTGTGAGGCGTCCGGAAGCCGATCTTCGTCTGCAGGAGACCAGAAACATGAACTCTGTTGTGTCTTTCAGAGGAGCTGTCCCGTAAGCTGAAGCCTCTGGGGGACGAAGAGCGCTCGGTCATCCTCAAACTGAAGGAGAAAGAGTGCAAGAAGAGAAATGTGCCTTTCACCGGAGAGCTGCACGCCTGGGACACCCGCTACTTCATGACCCAGGTAAGAGCTGCACACCTGAGACACCTGACACCACAGACTCTGGTCACATCAGTCTGATGCTAGTTTAAACTGTATCGGAGGGAAAATCATTCTTTTGTTATGAAGAGGAGACATTTCTCAACTGAACTGAACTTTAAGACTAATATTCCTGCAGCTGGTCAGAAAGTACACAAATATAATATATTATTTATAACATATAAAATGTTCTATAATTAAAATAGTTTTTAGCTTTAATTTGACATAAAATATTGTTTTTTTGTCTCTTTAATGTTTATTAAAGATATTTACAGTGTAAAA